TCTTAATGAAGGCATGGGTGGAAAAGAGGATCAGCTGTGAGACAGTAGCAGGAAAGCACAGGGAGAACATGAGAAAATGTCATGGGGAATGTTTATGGCTAAACAAACCCCCTCCAGGTTATGAAGGAGGTTCTGCCAGCTTAGAGCTACCATGTGGCTGCCAGGTTGTCTGAGCTGGTTTTGTGCACTGAGCGTGGGTCTGGGACCTTTTTGTTCCTGGCTTTGACTTTGACCCCGAGGTCCTCTGCCTTGGGCAAAACCCTCAGAGCCACTCGTTGGCCTCGTTTGGGTTTTTGTAAATTATCAGAGTTAGCATCATCAGGTTCAGCTCTGTCACCATTGGGTAGACACTGCCAGTTCTGGTCCTTGGGCCAGAACACTGTGAGGAGATGTAAGTATGGCAGAGGGTCTCCACATAGCAATGCAGAACTGGTCTTCAGCCCACCATGTCCTCTGTGCAGCTCATGACCTCCATCATAGAATCACAGAATCACTTTGTTTGGAAAAGACCTTTAAGATTGAGTCCAACCATTAACCCAACTCTACCAAATCCTCCTCTAAGCCATATCCCCAAGCACCATATCTATGTGGCTTTGAAGCACATCCAGGGATGTTGACTCCACCACTTCCTTGGGCAGCATCTTCCAACACCTGACAACTTTCTGTGAAAAAGTTCTTCCCAATGTCCAGTCTTGCTCACTTCCATTTTCCCCTGGTTGGCTGTGTGGACATCCCCATCCCTCCTGTTCCACGGTGGTTCCTCTCCTCCCATGCTTGCCCTCCTCATGCCCTGTTGGATGCCAGACTGCTCCTGTCCCTGCCAGCAGCTCCTCACCTCCATCTACCAGAGGTTTCTCTGAGATGCAGCAAGATCTGCCTGTTCACACCGGGTTTGCACTGAGCTGCAGACCTTTGCACTGTCTTCTCTTAATTGTTTTGGGCAATAAAGGGGAAAAAAGAACCCCCAGCACTCAGCACAGGGCCATTAACTGGCTGTGCTGCAGAGGGGCTGGGTGGCCAAGTGGTTTGAGAACATGATTGGAAACCGTCATCTGAGTTTCCAAAACCTTTGTGTCCTCTTGAGGGCACAATGCTCCACCCCGTGGGTCTCTGTCTACCATGGATAAAACAGAGCTGTTACTGCTGCTGTGCTTCAGGGGGATCTTTGGGACCCTAATTAATGCTAAAACCTCCTGTGATCCCTCACTGGAAGGAGCAGGAGGTGGAGGGGCTGCACACTGCCAGGGCTGCCAGCTTCCACCAGAGCTCAGCTTCCTGGTGCCAACACCAGAACTGCTCAGTCAGAGGGACTGGAAGTGGAAAACCTTCCTCTAAGATTCTCAGAGGAGGACTGGTTTCAAGTGAGGAAAAGCAATTCTTTTTTTCTCAAAAAAAGGACTTTCAGCAGATCAAAAGCACTTGGATTCTGATGGTTTTCTATTGCCTTCTTTTTTTTTTTTTTCCCTTATATCATCTCAGAAATGATGAGATGAAGGCCTTGCTTGTGGATATGTGTTTTTTAACCCAGGCCTGACCAATACAGATGCTCTTGCTTTTGGCAGCTGAGTGATGTGGGTGTGCTGGGCAGAGGGCAGCAGTGCAGTCAAAGGGCCAGCGTGGGCTCCCAGCATGGCCCAAAGGGGTGGAGGGGCTTTAACACCCTGCCAAGCAGAGGTGCCTCCTCCTGACCCCACTGGAGATGGAAGAGGTGATGTGGGCACTAATTGCTGAATATTAAGGTCGTGTTTTGATGAAGGTCTGCTGTTTTTCAAGGAAAGTGCTCTGGCACTGATTGCCTCCAAGCTAATGGAGCCTTTCTGGCTGAGCTGCTATGGCCAGAGCAGAGGTCACCCATTAGCTCTGCTCACCCATTTCAGGAAGAAAACACAACACAGCCGCTGCGGCCAAGCAAGTGACCCCAGGATGGGGATGGAGATCATCTCATGGCAAGCTGAGCCCTCGTGCTGCTTTCTTGTGCTTGTGCTGATGAGGAAGAAGAGTGTTGCCTGCTGCTGAGCACCTGGACAGGCAGCAGGATGTCTGGGGTCTCTGCCCAGCCCTCCCATGGCAGAGTTCCTGGTCTTGCTGGGGCTGAGGTCCCACCTCCTCAATTGGGTGTCCCTATTGCTGTTGCTTTCTGAACCTGGAAAGAGGAAGATCCATGCTGCCAAACTGTAGAGACACCTACCTTCCCTGCTTACAGCAGGAGACTCCTTACTGAGCTTGGTGAAGGACCTGGAGGTGCTGGTGGACAAGTTCACCATGAGCCAGCAATGGGCCTTCCTGGCCATGAAGGCCAATGGTCTTCTTGGGTGCATTAAGAAGAGTGTGACCAGCAGGTCAAGGGAGGTTGTCCTCCCTCTCTGCTCTGCCCTATCTGGGGTATTTTGTCTAGTTCTGGGCTTCCTAGTTCAAGAGAGACAAGGAACTGCTGGAGAGGGTCTAGCAGAGGCTGCAGAGATGCTGAGGGGCCTGGAACATCTCTGTGCCAGGACAGGCTGAGAGCCCTGGGGCTGCTGAGCTGGAGAAGAGAAGCCTCAAAGGGGATCTGATCAATGCTGAGCAAGAGCTAAAAGTCAGGAGTCAAGAGGCTGGGGCCAGACTCTTTCCAGTTGTGCCCAGTGACAGGACAAGGGGCCACAAGAACAAATTGGAAATCAGGAGGCTCCATCTAAAACAGAAGGAAAAAAAATCTTTCCTGTGGGGTTGCCCAAGCCTGGAGCAGCTGCCCAGAGAGGCTGTGGAGTCTCCTCTGGAGAGATTCCAAACCTGCCTGGATGTGATCCCGGGCACCCTTCTGCGGGTGACCTGCTGGGGTAGGGGAGCTGGATGAGATGATCTCCAGAGGTCCCTCCCATCCCCACCATGCTGGGTTCTGTGATTCTGTACTCACCTTGAACACCTCATCTGTTGAAGCGACAAGAAGGGATGGTGGCACCTCCAAGGTAGAGGTGCAAAGCCCTGAAGTCAGACTCCTGCCCCGAATTCCCTGTTGCCCTCCTGCTTTGTTGCTGTTCCTTAATCCAAGGAGGAGAACAGCCCATGTGGTCCTTGTGAAGCTCCACAGTGCAGATGTTCTTCCTGAGGTGCTCCCACTCCAAGCAGTGTTCATTGTCACTTAAATGATGTCATGCCAAGGAATTAAATAACATCTCCTTGGGTGAGCTCCCCTTGTCCATGCAGAAGTGGATTCCTTGTCAGCCTGCTGGCATCCTCTCAGACAGCAAGTGTTGTGAAGGAACAAACACTGATGGCTCAGAGAATTTGTTGTGTGCTGGGAATGGCCACTGTGCAAATGTCTTGTCAGCCACGTGTGGGGTGAGCAGGGCCAGCAGGGGGGGACGGGGGGCTGGCAGTGCTGGGGTGAGGGAAGGGAATCACTGTGTCTGTCCCCAGGAAGGGGGTAAGGAGTTGGGACAGCTCCTGAAGTAAACATACCTCAGGGTCTCCATCTCATTTAAGGTTCATCTGCTTTTATAGCCCTCTGCACTCACTCGCAAGAGCTGCTCAGTTTTCCTGTGGGATAAGGAGCTGTGTTATTTCTCAGGAGCTGGGCACCCCCCTTCCCAGGCACCACGGAGCCCCGAGGGGTTCAAGCCAGCTCCTGCACTTGGTCAAAAGCAGCTCGAGTTTCCAGGTCTGGCTCAGGGTGGCTAACCCAAGGTCTTTTGGGAGAGTGACTGGAAGATGGTCAGCCTGGCTGTGAGGAAGTGTTCTCACTTTGGAGCTGTGATATTCCAGCCAGGACTCTGAGCTCAGCATCCCACTGGCATCCTGGCCTGGATCAGAACTGGTGTGACCAGCAGGAGCAGGGAGGTGATGGTGGCCCTGGGCTTGGCACTTGTGAGACAGCACCTTGGGTCCTGTGTCCAGTTTCGGGCACCACAGGGTAAAAAGGACATGGAGGGGCTGGAGCAGGTCCAGAAAAGGGCAACGAGGCTGGTGAGGGGTCCAGGGAACATACCTGATGAGCCTGGCTGAGGGAGCTGGGGTTGTTCAGTCTGGAGAAGAGGAGACTGAGAGGTGACCTCATTGCTCTCTACAGATACCTAAAAGGAGGTTGTAGCAAGGCTGGTGTTGGTCTCTTCTCTCAAACTGCTGATGATAGGAGAGAGGAAATGGCCTCAAGTTGCACCAGGGAAGATTTCAGTTGGCCATTGGGAAGAATTTCTTCCCTGAGAGAGTGGTGAGGCACTGGAACAGGCTGCCCAGGGAGGTGGTGGAGTCACCATCCCTGGAGGGGCTCAAAAACCAAGTAGATGCAGCACTTGAGGCTGTGGTCTAGTGGTTAGGGAGATGTTGGGATGGTGGTTGGACTTGATGATCCTGGAGGTACTTCCCAACCATGGTGATTCCATGGTTGGAATCCCAGGGACATCCCACGCAGCCAGAGCCTCTCAGAGCCTCTCTCCAACGCTTCACCCGTCCGGCACAAAAGCCACATTTTCCTGTCAGATCCTCTCCATTACCTTCACGTGTGGAATTATCATTCCTGCCCTTTTACCGACCCCACCCTGGTGAGGAAACGAGGGAGAAACCCACCCCAGGGGCCACTCACAGGACATGTGGGAGCTGCCCCCTGTCAGGGTGCCTGCTGATGGCAGGATCCCTGCTCTGCTGGCGGGGGAGCCCGGCTGGCGGGTGCCACAGCACTGCCACGTTTGCAGGGCAAAGGGACCTGAGGTGTCTACAGTCCTCTCACGGCTGGGCAGCTGCAGGGTGCAGCCTCACAGGGCTCCTGGGAACGGTGGGGGGAGAGAGAATGGTGGGAATGGTGGGGGGAGCTTGGCAGATGCAGTGACCTGTCCCACAGCCCAGCTCCTAACCCTGGGTGCTCTCCTGCTGGGAGCCCTGGAGTCATCTCACATCTCCTTGAGATGCCAAAGCTGACTGGTACCACGTTTTTGTCTTTCTCTTGTGAAGGCCAGTTCCCATAACAACCTGGTGGTGTGGGACTGAGGCACCAGGACGTTATTTTCCTTTTCCTCCCTGCCTTCCAGGTTTACCCTCTACGCAGTGGACACACGAGGGAGACACTCGGAGCTGAGCACGGTCACCCTGAGGACAGCCTGCCCACTGGTAGATGACAGCAAGGCAGAAGGTCAGTGTTCAGGTGCCTCTTTTTCCACAACTGAAGACATTTCCTGCTGATTTTGCTTTTCTCTATGCAATGTGCCCCTGCAAGCCCCTCCAGTCCCTCCTTTTCCACTGTGGATGCTCCTGTAAATTCACCCACAGGCACAGGGACGTGAATCTGAAGAGAGGTGGCAAATTGCAAGAGCATCCAGTAGCCAAATCCCTGGGGCTGGGCAGCTGGTGGCTCCCGTGGTCCTGTGCCACACAGCACCACAGCATCCTCCCCAGGCACGGCCACGTCTGACACAGATCCCATGGGAAAAGTGCAATTTCTTCTTCCAAAATCAAGGGGCAGCCCTTGCTGGGTCGGGGCAGTGAGCAGTGAGGTTCTGCTCTCAGCTCCGTGTGTTTCAAAGGATGCTGGTGGCAGCTGGTTTGGTTGGGAACAGAAGCACTGATACAAACCCAGCTGCTCTTGCACTTTGCATTTTGCAGTTTTGAAAGCAGTCCCATTTGTTGTTATGCCCAGAGCACTTGGCTGCTGTCACATGTAAAAAGATTGCTCTGAGTGGAAGGCAAGTTGTCTGTTTGCTTGCTTGCTTTCTGGTCTGAAAAGCACACAAAAGAAAGGTTGGATTAATGTCCATGTTATTGATAAGCATTCCCAGGAAAAATAAGTAAATCGGAGACTAAAGAAAAGGAAGGAAATGGAATTTTGTGCATTTTTCATTCCCTTGAAAGAGATCCTTTTCTGCAGCAGGGAGTTGCACACATCTGAGCTGCCCCGGCAGATGCCACAAGGATGATGTCCTGTGTCTCTGGCTGAGGCACCATCTTGTTATCCACTGTGTTATGTCCTTCCTACCCTTCAGCATCAGAGCTGTGTGGTTGCTTTTGGTTGGGGGACGTAGAGAAGAGCTTTCCTGCCCTGCCTGGGAGGGTGAGGCTGTGTCTGCCTGTGCTGGTGGCCCCCCTCGTCTCCTCCTGTTCCCTCATGGAGTATTGCTGGAGTCTTTGGGGCTGCTCTTGCTCATGCAGGGTGCTCAGGGTCAGCCTGAGGAGTTGCTGCATGCTCCCCAGATCACTAAACAGTGCCAAGGGACTGGCAGCCATCCCAGCTGCCCACCTCTCCTGCCAGCCTTGCTGAAGGCTTCTCTCTTCTTCCTGTGTCAGCTTCTTCTGCCTGTTCATTCATCCCATCCCCCTGATCCTTTTCAGAGATAGCTGACAAAATCTACAACCTCTACAATGGCTACACCAGTGGGAAGGAGCAGCAGACAGCCTATAACACACTGATGGAGGTCTCTGCTTCCATGATCTTCCGAGTCCAGCACCACTACAACTCACACTACGAGAAGTTTGGAGACTTCGTCTGGCGCAGTGAGGACGAGCTGGGGCCCAGGTACCTGTCCCTTCCCTGGGTCCTCCCTTGCCCTGCTTCCAGGAGCACCCCTCTACTTGGCCACAGTGGGTGTGACCCTCATTCCTTTCTCCTGGTAGCTGAGAGAAGTCCCCTTTTGGTGTTCACCCAGCTGTTCTGCCATCCCCTAGGGCCACCAGGTCCCACTCGGTCTTTGGATGAATGTTTATGGGACATGGAGCAGCAGGGGGGTCTGTGGAGGAATGCTTGTGGAACATCTAGCAACCAGCCTGAGCCAGGCAGGTGATGCTGCAGAGGAGCTGGGTGTGTTGGAAAAGCTGGAGGGGTTGGGGGCAAAGGGTGTAAATCAGGCCTAGGATGAAGCTTAAACCAGGACCAACAGAGATCCTCTTCAGTTGTAGAGCCATGCTAGATGGGAGTGTGGCTGCTGGAGGGCTCAGAGATGCCCTGATGAGTCACAGAGAGGGTGGCTGGGGAGGAAGGGAAAATGCAGCAGGTAGTAGTGGTCAATGGTTGTCTAGCTGGGCAAAGGGACAAGTGGTGTCCCTCAAGGGGCTGTACTGGGACTGGTGTTGTTTAGTATCTTCATCAGTGACACAGGCAGTGGCACCAAGTGCACCCTCAGCAAGTTTGCTGACTCCTAAGCTGGGAGGTGCAGTTATGTGCCAGAGGGACGAGAGGCCATCCAGAGGGGCCTGG